AGTGGAGAAAATAATCACTCTTGTTGAGTTGATCCTTGAGATATTTATAAGATATTTACATAAATTTATCATAAAAATATAATTTTATTTGATTGGTGTTTGAGTATTTTAATTGTAATGAGATTTAATATATTTAATCTTGATATGATTATTTTGAAGATGTCTCCACGTGTTATAATTTTCACAAGACTCAATTTAGAGAATAACATTTACCTCCAATGAAAAAGTTTGAGAGTAACGAACACTTGCTAAGTTTCTTCACTCTGAATTTTGTGTAGCTTTTTCATATCTTTGCCTTTAAGAGGTTCCATCTTATTATGGCAAAAATTTTGTAACCATGACTGCCTTGTTAAAAATGTTAGCTAGTAAAAAACCCTATGAGATAAAAAACTAGTTTAAGAAAAAAAAAGTACAGCACAGATTTTTCGTTATTTCACAGTTTTTGGTATGCTTTCTGTCAGTCTACCATATGCTAACATATGTGATCACTCATTGAGTAATCCACACACCTTACCACCTTATGAAAGTTCTATCCCCTTCTTTTCTTCTTTCACTTTTCCAAAATCTCCAATTAGTCTTCCTCATGCCTCAAGATTTCATTTGGAGCTTTAAAGTGATTTGAAGAAACTAAGGTAAAACTCTCTACCATTTTATTATTTCCCATTTCTTTATCCATCTTCCTTTATCATGCCTCTTTTGAGTTTTTAATACTACTTTGCCTTTTAATTTAACCAAAATTTTCTATCTTAAAACAAGCTACCACCGCCAAGAAAATTTTCTTTTATATGTGTGGTAAGTTTAAATTCATCCAAATAAATTCCTTTTCCGTAAAAAATATATCAAACATAAAGTTTTTGTGGGAGATGCTGCTATGTTGGCTTTCTGAAAATATATTTTGACGGTAAGTTCTCAGAAATAAATTTATTGATAAAATAATAAAGTTAGAGAGATGATAATCTAATGAGCGTGCCTCGTTTATAAGTCTTCTCCTTTCAGCAGCTGTTGGAAATCGGATGCCAAGGGAATGCCCCCTAGCACCGTCTTGCAACTCTTTCCCTTGCCTGAGAAGAGCTGGCATGACCACGTCCTATATTGGAAACTACCCCCATTTGATTCGCACCAGCATGAAAACTATGCATTGTCTGGGGAAATGTTAAAGAAGAAGATGCATGTAGAGCCGCTCCAAAAATACCTGCAGCGTGTGCCATGCTTCTAGCTCCAGAAAAGGCCATGTTCATATTCATGTTCCTTTGCATGTTCTCCAAATTAATATCCCCATCCAAACACCAGAATCATGAAATCAGGAGGATTAATCATATGGCTTGCTCTTTCAATTGAGTTCTGCTCCTGATGTAACGCACCGAATATGTTTGCTCCACTCAATTGCATAGGCTGTAAATTTTGCAAAAAGTTAAAGCCTTGAGCAACTGGTTGGCTTGCTGGGGTTGCATAAAATGGTCCCACTGTTGAGCTAGTACTGGCAAAGGGATCATATGGGAAGTAGTGTGCTGGTTGGCTGAGCGGCTGCACATTAAGACCGTTTAAATGTCAAACTGGTAAGTTTGTAGGCATGGAGAACTGTTGTTCAACCTCTCTCAACCAGACATTTCTATGAGAGGATCGCATATCTTCTGAGCTCCGATTCAAGTTCATGCCATGTGCGTTTAAGCTGCCCCTAGCATTTTCTTGGGCAGCAACACCAAGCTGTTCGAAAATACCAACCTGTTGTTCAAGGTTCTCAACTCGCTGAGCAGAGCTTGAACTACCACCCAAAGACAAATGTCCAGAGCTCGAACTTGATCCATCTGCTGAAGCATTTTGCCAGTTGACATTGT